TGGAGTTTTACTGTATGCCATCAGGTGTTTGTGATGTTTCCTCCCACCTTCTCACCATTATTACTATTCTTCTTCCTCTTCTTTCCATCCTCGGCTGAGCGGCTTCATTCCATTTCCGTCTCAATGTAAAGCTAAGATTTTAAAGGAAATGAAACAGTACCAATGTGATGAGAGTTTAAAAAATCCTTTGTTCTGTAGGCTTTTGTGTTTTGAATCCAGGTTAGATTTGGAGGTGAATATGCTGCACCGATCAGACCATCTTCTGGCACTCTTCACTGTTATTGCAGAGAGTAGCTGTACACAGGGCCACACAGTGCTACACTGTTGATGCTAAGACGACAACCTCTCCACTTGGTGACCACAGCTTCAACAGGTGACCTGGACCGAGATAGCACAGCCGTGATAAAAAAGCTCTCCCTCATAAACAACTCTATGTTCGCTGGAGGCGCTCTTTGCTGTGACTTTGTTCAGTTTCCTGCTTCACTTCACTTTCAGTTGGAACATTGGAGAACTTCTTGTCTTGTGGACTTTGCTGTAGGGTGAGAGTCTCCTTGAACTGCAGTCCTCCCTCGTCCCCCCCGAGATAGCACAGCCAGTAAATAACAGGTAAGAGAGCCCCGGAGTGTGATAAAGTAATCTCCAAGAAAGGCCACACACTGAGCGGTGATGCTGGACCCCAGGGTGTCAGACGCTACAGCAGCCAATCAGCTTAGACCGGGAGCTTAGCTCAGTGACTTTGTTTCCTCTTGTCTCCCGGAGGAGTGACGACCTCTGTCCCATTCAGCCGAGCACGGTCTCTGAGGGGTAGATGAAACTCTTCTCCTCAGGAAACAAGTCACGTCTGTCTCTCCAGCATTTTTTCCACATCGATGTCAGTTTCTCTCAACAAGTTGTTTTACTGTTAATAAGTAACAAGTGAAGCAGTGGACGTCGTTGGACAACAGGTTTAAAGGATAAATGAGGATTTAGAACATTTGGATTGGTTTGGAACTTTCTGGAATGGTATTAGAAAAACACAGGTCAAACTGCAGATTGAGAAAACCACTGTCCTAATGTTAATGTTTCTTTGTCCTAACATTCTGTTGGACTGTCTTCAGTCTCCATGACTGTCCAACACTGTCTTCACATTCACATTTTGCCCATCCTCTGCATTTGTTGTTCGTTACGTGTGTAAATTACTACGTTTTCAGGGAACTTGAAGATGCGTACACCGACCACCGCAGTACCACTGGAAATACAGGGGGCAGTGTTGTGCACTAGAAAGTTTAAAATAAGTGGCGAAAACAGAGCAAGACCAGACATGTCTCTAACATCAAATAAGCAGCGAGAACAACAGAGCAAGACCAGACATGTCTCTAATGTCCACACGGACCACCACTGTCTCCCGTTCTGTCTCTCATGTTTGACAATTTATATGCATGACCCTTGTCTACCAAACAAGTTATGCTTGTGGGAGGTCAGAGGTCAGAGGAGAAGGTGTATGGAAGACATCAATACAAATGAAATGCCACCAGGTTCTGCTTGTTGGAGCTGTTGTATCCAGTATGAAGTGTGTGTTTTCCCCTGTGTAGCTGTGACCAGTCAGTGAAGTTCTCTGTGCGTGGAGGAGCTGTGAGCACTGACATTTTCATTTGCACTGAGAAGTTAAACTTGACTATGAATAATAGAGTGAAGTGAAGCAGAGCTGAGTATTAGTGCAGCCCAACAAACGAAATACAGAAAACCTGAGCTGAGTGAGAGACTGCCAACGCTGCTGAGGGAACGTTTGTTTGCACCTATTGATTAACTATTTAATTGCAACTTGAAGGGAACAGTAAATTGGGTTTAAGAAGAAGTTGTGATGCTACAGCTCCTGTTAGCTCTAAGTCCAGGCTGAGGGGACGAGGACAATGTTGTCTACTCTGCAAACAAACTGGAGAGAACCCATCTGTCCCGTCTGGTGTAAGTGCACTGATCCACAGTTGGAGATACTACAGTTTATTGAATGACGACAGTTTTCAAAGGTGAATTGATCCACATTTGTCGCTCCAGTTAACATGTAGGTCAGACAGACATCTGTGTACTGGTAAATGTGTGTATGTGTGTGTATGTGGGTGTGTGAGACCCTGCTGAAAGTCTGTGTTGTTAATCAATAACAACAATAACAATGAATGGAGACAATAAAGACAAGACGTCTCTGTCCTGCTCTCTGTCTCATTCAATCTTTCTCCAAACTGAGTCTCCAACCTGATCATTCTGTCTCACTCAGTAGGGACCAGGCATGGCTTGAACTTCATGTCCAACATGTTACTACAACTTGCCAATACCAATATCAATCTGATTCCTCTTCTTTCCTCTTCCAGCATGCTGCAAGTATCCTCTATTTTTATGACTAGCAAGCTGCAAGTATCCTCTATTTTTATGACTGTTTTTTGTGTTGAAACTGTCACTGGTCACTGTGATGTAACATTTACTTCAGTGAAACATTAAAGTTCATCCATTAACAGAGGCCACGACAGACTGCTCCACAATATAGGAGCGTCTTAATGGGGACATCTGTTTCCTGGGCAACAAATGGAACCAGGCTGAATGTTCTTTGTTTTGTTTTGTTTTTTTAGAACCTGATGCTGAACAACGTTTCTAAAACCAGAGTCAAACAATAATCCAGCTAATAAAGTGAGAAGTTTGAAAACAGAACTCCATTAGTTCAGCAAACACAACGTCAAACTGCAGCAGAGCTCCTGCTTTTCCTCAAACAAGAATCAGATAAATATTAAAAACCCGTCAGACAGCAGTCTCACACAAACAGTATGAACTGTTTCTCAGGTTCTCAGGAAGTTGCAGCACATCTGTTTACTGCAGTCTAGACCTGTGGGAGTATAATCAAGTAAAGTGTAGTATTCTCTACAGCTAAGTTGCAGTTACAGAACACGTCAGTTACCCTTGGTGATGAACAAAGTGTGACATTGTGACTGACGGGCAGTGAACTCACCACTGGAGCAATCCAGTCCTCCCCATCCGGGCTCACAGTGACATGTGTCTGGAGAGACGCAGCGGCCGTGGGCACACTCCGCTGTACACAGAGCTGGACACAGAGGAGGAGAGGTGACATCATCAGTTCCAGTGACTTCATTAACTTAAATTAATCCTCATCATCCGTGAAGAAAAATCATAACAGAAAATAAAACAGAAAAACTCACACAAAAAATGTATATATTATTAATTTTAAAATACTTTTTAAAATATATATTTTATATTTTTAACTACATACAATCAAATTTGTATAATACTCTACTACTAATTTTTATCACATTTGTATAATACTCTACTACTACTACAACTATACTATTAGTATACTACTATATATACTACATCCACTTTATATAGTACATCCACTATGTACTTCATATTCTCAAACATCAACCTTCATCTCCAAAACTCTCCACCAAACCATCTCCATGATCTTCATCTCATCTCACAGCTTAGTTTGGACAGCAAATAAAAAAAAGAAATCTCAAACATCTGTTTTTATTTAAAAGTAAACTCTCCTTCAGGGAGTGTTTTTTTCTCTCTGCCCTCACCCTTACACTTGACCACTGTATATAATCCTTCTCTCTCTCTCTCTCCAACTCCTGCACTGCTCTTTCCATACACCTTCTCCCTGTGACCTCTGACCCCTCAGCTACTCCCATGTGATAACTCCAGCGTTGTGTTTATGCAGTGATGAAACCATTTGTTCTCCAGCCAACTGACAGCATCTGACAACACTAAAAGTAAAGCCGAATCGTAGTGAAATATTACAGCCAGTGGAAAAGAAGGCTGAAGTGAAAGTGTAGACCCCTCGGCGTCCTTATCTGGGGGGCAGTAACACAGATAAAGTGGCTGAACGCTGCTATCAGGGGAACTCTCGAGGCGTCTGAACGCAGCCTGTGGATTCATAAATAAACGCCGTCGCTGCTGATAGATTAATCTGTGTTTCTATGAAATACTTTATTAGTGTGTCAAAACACAAACAACTGAAACTGTCAACCAGCAGCCGGCTAAACACTCACACACACACACTCATTTAAATGATGTCGGCTCAGTGCTCTTTAACTCGGGCTTGTGTATTTTCTTTGTTTTTCTTCCACTCACAACAGAAACTTTAAATAAATGCCCTTTATGTAGTGTTTGAAAATAAAGTCCTGGACACAGTCTGGAACACCACCCGTCCTCCACCCTAGAGTCTGGACCATGGACTGTGGAGGAAAACCACATACCCAGAGAGAACAGGAGAGCTCCGTACTGAAAGTACAGAAGCTAGAGCTGGGCATCAAACCAGTGACCTCCTGCTGTTAGGCCAGAGCACTAACCACCTTTCCACCGAGAGCCCTGTGTAAAAATTTAGTTTTCAAATATTTTCAAAATGTGGCAGCAAAAATATGTCAGCTGTTAATTCACCAGCCTCTCATTAACAAAGACTTTTGTAAAAAAATTACTAAAAACTTAGTTGAATCACAAATCATGCAAAAATTTAATATGGTAATATATTTGGAGGTGATTTAAATCTTTGTCCAGAAGGCAAGAAACAGAAGCTGGTCCTCACACACACACACACATACGGAGACACACACACACACACACACAGGTGTCCAACAAAGCTTTTATGAGGAGGAGGAATCAGAGATGCACGTCCTCCTTCACTGAGTGTCTTCTCATTAGGAGGTTCGTGCTCCAGAGAAGTGTCAGAGAAAACAGCAGATTTACGTCTGATAATCCCAGAATAGAAGGTTAGGATTGTGCTGCTCTGAAGAGACAGCAGACAGGACCTTGAAAATTCTGGGACAATCTTGCATTATCTCACTGTGTGACTGTGTGAGCTTCATGTTGTTGTTCATTTGTAGAAAGATTTAAAAACCATTTACACGCGGTGTAACACCAACCATGTTAATTAAACCAGTTTTTCATTAATAAATTACAACCAAAAAAAAACAAAAAAAAAAAACAAAAACGAAGACCCATACCCTCTTTACACCCACTCAGAAATTGTAAAATGTTTTTCCCTCGTTCATGTAGAAGAGTTTCCAGAGTGTTGTTACACCGCTGGCATTTTTCTGCCACCCTGGGTTGTTAGGGGGCAGTATAAAATCAAATCAAACATGGTTTTTAGCCTTTTGTTCTTCCAGGTGAGACACTTCTCTGTGGCTGGGAAATAAGACCTGAATGTCCTGACTGAGCAGGGCCAGCAGCCCGTCTGGAAGGTGCAAAGGATAGTCCTCGACCCATATGTTTTCTTTCAAAACACAAAATATTCTGACTGAGACTTTATATATGTTATGTTATTCACCTCCCCCTCCACCCTCACCCCACTCTCCCCTCCTGCCTCACTCTCCCACAGGGGGAAACCTTTTTATTTAGCTCCTGCTGCGTCCATCCCACAACAAAAGACTTGTCAAAAGTCACAAGCGTCAGCGGACCATCGCCGGTCCCTCCGAGTGCTCGGACCCCTCCCCCACCAGAGTCAGGTTGTACAATGGAGCGGTTTTGTGTTTTCCTTGAAAAGTCTGACAAAGACGAGTTTATGAGGAAGTGATGAATAAGGAAACACAACACGGACACACGTGCCCTGCAGGAAAAGCCTTTCCCTCAACTGCAGTGGATGAAAAGGCTCAGAGCTCCATTGAGTTTACCATGTAGGCTGGATAATTGACGTGTGCATCTGAAGACAAGAGGAGAGACGTCCTGCTTCGACACACATTCAAATACACGTGGAAGGGTCATGTTATTTAAAGGTATTCAATATTTAAACTGATTAACAGCTGTGTTACATTATAATGTATGAATGTAATAACTGGAATTTATACATATGAATTTGGATTCATTGATTACACAAAAGATTCTAATTTCTGGAAATCTCCAGGACACAGTCCAGCCCAGCAGGTGGCAGTAATGCACCAGGCACAAAAACATTTGGTGATCAGTGATGGAAGAGAAGCCCATTGTTGTTAGCCTGAATATTTTCAATTTTTTCTTCTACGATTATGGTGTAAATTGTTGAACAAATGGTTTTCTTATCACTGCAGTAATCACCTCCAAGTCAAACATTCCTGGCACTGACACCAGATATATTATCACTTCAAGTCCTTTAAACATTGACTCTCTGACCTCCCTGATGTTGACCTTTTATTTCATCCTCCTATTACAAGCCTTGTCTTTTGGTTTTTCTGCTCCTCTGACAGTCTGTAGTTGGACTTTGGTTTGAGAACAGAAACACCACTGACTCTGTAACAGTGCTGCACAGAAGTGATGCTTTTGTGCCTTCTCCAGGACACGCAGATCCAGAAAAGTGCCTGGTGTGTGTGTGAAAAGATAATGACAGAGATCCAACAATGCACAGCAATTTCCACAAACATGGAGATTTGTGTGTGAGGTGGAAAAAGGTGAAGCAGGTGACAGGAAGAGAAATACTGCAGAGATGTTCAGCCAGGAGAGCAAACTGCTGTTTTATATTGGAATGATAATAAAAAATATACAAGGACAAAAAATAAAAAAATACAACAACCACAATAATAATAATAATAATGTGTAACTTGCTTTTATCATGTAAGAGACTTTCTCTAATTATTCCTTCCACCTTACCTGCAGTATCTTCCATATGATTTTCTCCTACTGCAGTGTTACACACTTTTACTGAATTATCTTTTTTATTCAAATATTTATTTGAAAACCAAAATGTATTTTTGTTCAAGGGTCAAACACTTACGGACACAGAGGTCTCCACTCTCGTAGAAACCTGGGCAGCACTGAGAGCGTCTCCTGTACATGGTCCTCACACCTTTCCTGTACGATGTCTTATAGCTGATCCTGGAGACACACACATACACACATTATATGTATCACACAGTGTCACTAGTTACTAACATGATATTAGCTAGTGGGAGGCATGCCTGTCCTGGACGGGGTGAGGGGGTGAGAAACTGTAAAGAAAGGGAGCTGCAGGAAAACATCTAATCCTGGAAATTGGATCTGAATGAATGGATGTGTTTGTTCCAGGTACAGTGAAAGTCTAGAATGACAATGACTATTTAAAGTTGGAATGAAACCAAATTTTTAAAGCGCAAATGATAAAAATGTATAATTGTATTTTGTGTCTGTTTAGGGCTAGGTCAGCAGGGCTGAATTCTGTTTTTGCATATTTCAAATTTTCACACTCCACACCACCCATACAGTCAGGATGTAGAAATAGACTGAGCAAATTATCATCCCATGTGGAGAGTGAGCCAGAGAAGATGGAAGATGGAGGAAAAAGGCGGGGGTGGATGTGACGTGTCAGAACATGTCAATGACAACTGGACCTTTCAAAAAGAGCACCACCACAACTAGGTGGAGCTGTCTGTGACGCTCACCGTCATCACATGGAAGAGTGGGCCACGGTACTATGGGGATAATACTAATATTAGCAAATGAAAATTAGAAATACTACTATATGCAGTACTACTGTCTATGTTTCAGTACTATGAACCTGGATCAGACAGTTCTATGGTACAGTACATCATGTATACAGTATCACATCATAGAATTCAATTAATCAATAAAAATAATATGATGAGGTAGAGCGAGATAGAGAGAGAGAGAGCAGTGATTGAACTAAATATGAAGAAAGCATCCTTCTCTCCCTCCATCCATCCACCCTCCCTGTCTCTGTCCTTCCCTTTCTACCTCTTACCCTCTCTCCCCCTTCTATCCATCCCTACTTCCCTCACCCTTTATCAATTCATCCATCTATCCATCCATCCACCCCCTGTGTCTCTTCCATCCTTTCCTCCCTCCCTCCCTCCTTCTCTCCCTCTCTCCCTCCATGCATCCTTCCCTCCCTCCACCCATCCGTCCATCCATCTTCTACCACTTTTTCACCAGTGTCGTGACAGTCCTCAGCTGAGGTTGGTGTTGCACCACAGGACAGTGTTCACCATCCAAAAGAGTGAACAGTTAACCTACTCTCCAGTCTGTGTGGAGTTGACAGTGGGATGAAACTGAATTCTCTGAACATAAATGTAGATGTGAACTATTAACACTAGAACTCTATATCCTCCTATACACCTGGAGTACGGTGACGTTGGACCAATGAAAAGTGTGTGACAACAAACCAGCAGCCTTGGACCGTCTCTGCGACTCCTTCAAGGACATCAATGTTTTCTGACATTTCACTTCATAATCAATGGCTGGGCTGTAGCTGCAGGAGCTAAACCGGCAGCTATTAAACTTAATGAGGGTTGTTAACCTGACAGCTGCTCATCTAAGTGATCATAGCAGAGTGGTTCAATCTATCTGCACATGAGTCATGACTTGGCTCATTATATACTGGGGGAAAGACATAACGCCATCTACTGCTCTTATGGGTATAATGTAATGCTGGTTATAACATGAAGGTGAGTTAAGAAGTTATATGAGGAATATAAAAGTCTAAAAGTTTTTTTCTTCAGTGTTGTTTCCATAATTGAATTCCTCCTCTGTAAAATTCTGAAGGATGACCTTTGACATCAGGTCACAACCTGCTTCTCTGCCTGGTCTAAAGACCGGAATCCTTTAAATAACACGTTACATGTTTAGCTTGGATGTTGTGTGCTGTGAGCAAAGAAAGATCAAATTTGGAACACAAGTAACAGTAAGGTTAACTGTGGGGGAACCTAAACAAACAGACCTCATCCAACAGCATTATCCAGCTGACAGGAAAACAAAGTGTTCACAGTATTTAGACTTGTAGCTGACCTTCCTGTGCACAGGAACCCTTTTCATTTAGTACTTCACTCTGGTCACCAAGAACTTTATTTTGAAAAGTTGTTGACTGAGTGCAGTCTGTGGGAAATGTTTTAGAATTATTTGTTATTAGAATAATATTTTGTTGTGAAGAAAACTTTACTTTTTTGTAAATGCTGTCAATTGAAGGAATTCAGAATCAGCAAAAATTAGTCTCCGCCTGTCGCACTTGCCAAAAAAATCTGTATCAGCCAACAAAATTAAATCCATGCAGCTCGACCCGCAACTTAAGTCCCGTTAATAAAAGCTATACACAGAAAACACACACACAGGGACCTTCAGTATTCCTCTGCAAGCAGAGGTAAATTACACTGAATAAACTTTCAGGGATAAAGACTAGGCTTTAATTGAAACACACACTAAACTGGGTTCAGGTGAAACCCCATAATTACCTGTGCCTGGTACATTTGAACCAGTTGAGGATGTCAGTGCAGCGGGTGTAGTAGACCTGGTCGAAGGGATGAGCGTACGACTCCTGCACCGTCACTGCATAGCTGCAGAGACAGAGAGGGAAGTCACTTTCACATTCACAGCCAGGAATGTAGAGACAGCACCACAGTGATGGACGGAGAGAAAATTCCTGGTCCTGTCAATACTTCTAAAATTTGCCGAGATGCCGTCGAGTCAATAACGTTTACTCTTAAAGACGAATTATCAGGGTGAGGAAAATTGATCGGGGATAAAGAGCCAGGACAGAAGACAAGATCAATTCTTCTCCTAAACTCTGAGTTTGATTTGATTTTTCTACAAACTTTGATGATTTTCACTTTGATTAATGTCCTCTAGTGTGACACTAAGGTGTCATTAGTGGTGGGACAGGATGAAAAACTTAATGAAATTAATTGGAGCACTGGGAATGAATTAATCCTGATTAATTATCAAATTATAAATATGTTTGACAAAAGTTTTTGAATTAGAAAAAAAAATTACTCCAGGTGATTATTAAAGACTAAATAAGATGCTGATGTTTTCCACATATAAATCTGAGCCAATGGAAACTGAGGAGGTTCTACCAGTGGATTCCTATGTTAATTAGAACCTACTGGAAAATTAGACAGCTGTTTTTTTTATAAGGTTGATACAATTTTCTCATGAGAACTTTATGGTCTCTTATATGAGGCCCTCTGCCGATGTCAGCTGGGATTGGCTCCAGAACCCATTAAGTTCCTTAATAGGATAAAGCATTAGGGGATGAGTAGCTGAACAGTCCAACTTACAGTAGAAATGCCTTCATACTGCATTGTCATGACTGATGCCCATAAGACACCACGGCCCTCAGGAACTACAAAACACCAACAACTGACCGGAACCACACTTAGATTAGGACTGTGGGTCAAAGAGTAGTGTTGTTGACCACCCAGCTGCCTGACCAGTCCATGTACAGCAGACACTGACCTTTCCCAGTGGCTGCACACATTGGGGTCATCGGGGTTGAGTGGTGACCCCACAGAGATGAAGGCAAAGAGGTGAAAACAAAACTGAAATCGCACCGTCTTCATCCCTGTGGAAAAGAGAGAGAAATAAATTCATGAATCAGGAGATAATGTCCATCAGTGACATCATCAGTGACATCATCAGCTACTGATCTGCTGATCGAGTGAGTGGAACATAACACTCCAGAACACTGGTGTACAAGTCTGCCATGTGGACAGTGTTTGGAGTGTTTACTTTAATAGTACAATCATGGAAGAATATATGTTTTTGGTGAAGAGCAAAACCATGAGTACAATCAACAGATAAGTTCAACAAATTTCCAAGTGAGATCTTTACACAGCAGTTTCCTGGGTGTGGAGGAAGTCATCGTTTTAGGCAGAACTGGCTGTGACAGCCATGATAAACTCCTGAGTGACAGAGGTGGAACCAGCCGAGTTCTCCTGCCAACACTGTCCTGTGAAGGACTGACATGACGGTGTTCTCCAGTGGACAAGGGTTGGCATCTTCTCATTAGCTGGGAAGTCATGTCTGTTATGGTACTTGTGCAGACAGACGGCAGACATTCATATTTATGATGGAGTCAGTCAGAGAGGCCTTCAAACCTCACCTGTCAACGCGTGGTCATGACCACTGACATCCTGTTTTTTGGTGAAAGTCTTCATGCAGCTGCGTTCACACTCAGTCCAGAAAAGAAATACTCATATCACTGCTAAACAAAATCCCTTTGGTCACAGAATTGTTTGTTATATAGATGATACTGATCACATGAGCCCGGTGTCCACACTAAAATATTAACAAGGAATTAATTACAACGCGCTCATTACGCACAGCAAAAATCCAAACATTTAAAAATCTTCAGTCAAAGTGAGAGAAACAAATGACATCCAGAGCACAGCACAGCTCCATCCCATCATCCTGACCGACCACAGTATTATAGTCAGGGCTGTAATCTGTAATCTGAAGATTCAGTTCAACTGATGTTTTAAAGCACAAACTCAAGGCCCGGGGGCCAAACGTGGCCCGCCGAGTCATTATGTATGGCCAACGGGAGCTTAGAAAGTATTTAATAAGGTCTGTGCAGCAGAGTTTCTTAACCTGATAAATTTTTTTTTAAAAATCTTCAGTCAAAGTGAGAGAACACAATGACATCCAGAGCACAGCACAGCTCCATCCCATCATCCTGACCGACCACAGTATTATAGTCAGGGCTGTAATCTGTAATCTGAAGATTCAGTTCAACTGATGTTTTAAAGCACAAACTCAAGGCCCGGGGGCCAAACGTGGCCCGCCGAGTCATTATGTATGGCCAACGGGAGCTTAGAAAGTATTTAATAAGGTCTGTGCAGCAGAGTTTCTTAACCTGATAAATTTTTTTTTATTATTAAACTGCAATAAAGTATATTTGTAACTTGAATAAGCAATCAATTGCAGAAACATTTATTAATAGATTATGGAGTTGTTACATCTCTACAGTCTCCAGCCCTTCGAGGGGGAACTGTAATGCTGATGCGCCCCCTCACCAGTGAAAATTAGTTTGACACCCCTGCTTTAAAGAAAACTCTACATGCTTCTTTAATTAAAATGAGCAAGGACTCTACAGAGCCACATATACTGTATGTTTCCAAATGCTGACAAAGTCAACTTCACATAATGATTTAAAATAAGACTTCTAGGTTACAGCTTGGTTGTCGTTTTACATTTTGTGTGCAACACGTAAGTGAAGAAGAACCCAGAGTCGAACTATGAGTGAAATAGTTATTTCTGTTGGTTGTGACCAGACAAAGAATTGTAAGTCTGACTTCTGTCTGGCACTGTCACCAGGAGAGAACTCACCCGTCATAATGGCATATAACTCCAGTAACATGAATACAAACCAAGAAGATACTGTCAAAAGTGTGACCTGGTGTCAAAGGTCATCCTCCAGAATTCTCTGTCCATGTCTCAGAGAGCAGTCTGAGACATGGAGACATGGAGACATGGAGGAGAGACAGAGATCTGAAATGTATTTCTTTATGAATCTTCCAACAGGCTGAGCTTTACAAAGGTCTGTCAGGGTTTTTTCCTCCTGGATATTAATATTTTAACAAAAAACACAATCTATTGGCAGCTAAAATGACACAGTGTTAATGAACAAAAACAATTTGTGTCCATCAGTGTGAGTGTTTGTTTATTCCTGTAAATGACGCCTCAGTCAAATTCCACATGAATTTCAAATGTTTTATTACCTTGGTTTGTTATCAACCCACACGTAACCACAACACTTAATTCTGTCAAATTGGTCTGCGGCCACAAATCATTCTGCCAGGTCCATTTTTGGAATAGTCATCTATCAAACTCCATATATTTCTGTATCAACAGGCACATTTTTTACAGTCTGACAAATTTAATTAGTCTGCAAAACTTTTTTAGGGCAACAAAAATAATTGGCCTAAAATTTAGTTTACCATCTATTTAAACAACAGGATGCTGAAACTTTTATTTTGTAAAAGCAACAGCTGAGGAAAGGAAACAAGGTAATGTATATTTAGATAGATTTTAATTTTTTACACAGAAAAACACAGCGTGGTGTTTAGTGTCTATTGCTTAGACAAAAACAAAAAACAACCAAGTCCCAGATTCATCCAGTCAAATCAATAAGGATCAACAAACCTAATGCATGACACAAAAACATATTGGACTGACTATGACAAACACTAGGTAAAGGCCATCAATCCATACAGTTTAATTAAAACAGGCTCTGGTCTCATTACGTTGACGACTAAGGAGCTAAACACACAGTAATGACAGACATTTAATATGAGTCTTCAACACAACATGGTCTGCACCGGGGTCTCTGAGGAGTGTGTGTGTGTGTGTGTGTGGTTGCAGTGAAGAAGAACAGAAGTCTGGCTCGGTCATTTGCTTTCTAACAGTCAGCAGTAAGTCTTAAAGACGATTGGCTCTGCAGCATCAGCTGAGACAAATGTTTATTAGACTAAAGACCTTCATAACGAAGGACACTGTTAGGAGCTGAGATAATGTTAGACAGAAGGTGGTCTGTTTGACAGGAAATGAGCCAAAATTGTCCTCTGGATTTCAGATAACTACCAAGAAGCAGAAAGAGGCTGAACGTACTGTGGTTTTGAACCCTATCTTAGTTCTTCTACTGTCTAAGGGTTTAAATGGAGGTGGGACCAACCCCAGCAGTCATCAGGTGAGGGTGGGGTCACACACTGGACAGTTCTCCAGTCCATCACATAAAAAGATAAACAACCATTCACACTCTTAAAGCTACAGTTGAGCTTTTTAATATAAATGAAATAAGACAATAATCAGACACCCAGAAAAGAACCCATTATATTAGATTTAATAGATGAGTGAAATACAGCGTTTGTGATCGTTGCACACGATTTACATTAAACAACAATCAACAATCCTGAGGCCTGAGGCCTGTTAAATCAGTCAGTGACTCACTGATACTACACTGTGAATTGGTTTGAAATCGCCGGTGACTTTACTGCCACAACTTTAACTGCCACAACCTGACTCACAAGGGGTGAGGTGACTCTCTCTCTCTCTCTCTCTCTCTCTGTCTCACCATGGCCCAAATGGAAAGCAGCCTAATCCAGCTGTTCACTCTTCCACTTCCCAGTGATCAATGGTCACTTGTGGGAAGTAGGGAGTGGAGGTCGGAGAGACGGAGTATTGATGGCCACGAAACACCACATCAATAAATCAATAAGTGAAGTTCCTTCTGTTTTGGGGATGCTCTACTTCTGTTGATTAAGACCATCTTCATTGGACTGCAGATGGTTTTAGAGTATGAGCTCAGGAGTCTCACGCACACACACAAACAAATCTGACCACCCACACGTCCCACTTAAGGACCAGCACAAGGACTCGCACACACACAGACGCTGTAACAATACAAACAAATCTGACCACCCACACATCCCACTTAAGGACCAGCACAAGGACTCGACAGTAATAAATCATCGGATGATTTCCAATAGAAAAGATTTGTTTCCTTAGATAAAGCTGACAATGAGAGACGGCCACACACAAAGCATACTGGCTGCTGGGTAGTGTAACTGGGTTGTCCCCAACAACAGGATGAGAGGTGAGGAGGAGCGGGGGGTGGATTGGGTCACATCTGATGTTGGATGTGACCCAATCTGTTTTATGTACATTTCTCTCTGAGTGCAACATCAGATGTTAGACTTGAGGAGGAAACAGTGACGACTTGGAGGCAACAGAACTGTTTTATGTACATTTCTCTCTGAGTGAAATATAATTGTTGCACTTCACAGATAATTCCACATAAAAGTGTTTTAAATACATGGACATGGGTGGGATTCACTGGACCATGTCCAGATTTTTCCTTCAAGACTCAGTATAACAGACGAAGAAACACACACGACACCGTCAAGGTGACCCATCAGGGTAAGACTGAAAACATGTCGGACAGAGAGAAAAGTTCTGACAGCACGGTTCTACCCAGGGATCTGACCAGATCTTCACTCAGGGTGCTGTCAACACTAACTGTGACAGAAACAGACAGCTCAGCAAAAGTGTCCAAATCATTGACAGGTTTTTAGCTGTAGTTGTCAATAAAAACAAGAAAATGTGTCAGGGAAACGACTTAACTGATGGAAATAACTTTGTCCAGAAACTGCTTTTAATTCATTGTGGGATAGTTTTAAAGAAAAAATACTAAGGACGGATATTACTGATAAAATATGTACATTATATATATGCCACAGAGCAAGACAAACAAGAGGTCTTGGTCTGCTATTAGCTAAGCTTCTACATCATCACACACATGCACAGACACATGCACACAAACAAAAACCTCTCTGTGAAAAAGCAGCACCTAAGTGTACTTAGAAAAGGACTGAAGTCCACTTGTATTGTCTGGTTGGACTTCATGTTCTCCAGGCCCCTCACTAAAACCTAATGAACACTCAGCCTGAGGCGGCCGAGGACGAGGACACTGCCGTCCAGCAGTGTCCTCTTTATATTGAGAACAATGGCAGAGCACTTCAGAAGGAACAGAGCTGAGAAAGCACTTCTGAGCGGCCGTGCCAC